GGCAGCTCCCACCTTCTCTGGGCCACTGTGGTTCCCCATCTTTATTCTTTTTTTTTTTTTTTTGGTGAACCAATGGGAGGTTCCCCATCTTTAAAATGAGACAGTTGGATTAGCTGACCTCTGAGATCTCTTCTAATTCCAAATATATGATCCTATAATTTCCTGAAAATTAGTGTGAAGAGGTCACACCCAAAATCAATTCAATTCATTGATTAAATGGCTTTTTACATGCATGAGAGATAGAGTGATTGGAAAATTTAGATAAGACCTTGTGCCTCCCTTCCTAGAACTTACAATCCAGGGAAGGATCTCATGTGCACAGAAATAACCATAATAAATAGACTACATGATAAGCGTTTGATAGAAAATCTGAGCAAAGTGCTATGGAAAACTTGAAGGAGAGGAGCAGCTAGGTGGTGCAGTAGACAGAGCACTGACCCTGAAGTCAAGAAGACCTGAGTTCAAATCTGGCCTCAGACCAAACACTTGGCACTAGTTGTGTGACCCTGGGCAAGTCACTTAACCCTAATTGCTGAGAAGGGGGGGAAAAAAGCCACCCTGAAGGAGAAAAAGGTCATTACTAACAGTGTGGGGAAGGAAGGTGAAAGAGAAAAGAAGAGTTTCCTGGAGAAGTAGCTTTTGAGTTTGGCTTTAAAGGATGGGGAAAAATTGCAAAGGCAGGGAGAGAAAGCATTCAAAGCAGAGGGAACCAAATGAGAAAGGTACAAGCTTGGGGAAAGTGTAGTAAGTGCCTGTAATGGCGAATAGTTCAGTTTTCCAAGAACACAGCTGTGCCCCTAAAATGAGATTTCTTTGAAAAGAAAAACAAATATATTAGTATGTAGTTTAAAAAAAATCATAAAAACCGCATGTGGTTTGTCCACATTTGGAAAGAAAAAATGCAGCCTCTGTTTGGACCAGTTTAGTCCAAATGAAAGCCAGCATGGCAGAGTGCACAGAGGGCTAGCTTTAGAATACAGACTAAGGTTCAAATCTGGACTCTGATACATACTACATGTGCAGCATTGGGTAAATCGTTTAAGCTCTTCTTAGAGTTCTAAGACTATAAATTACAGGTGAATTAGAAAGCTGTGTTAGTGGAGAGATTTTCCACAATAGGGGTTTGCTATAAGTCACATGATAGGTCTGTCCCCCTTTCCCTTCATCCTTAAGGAGACAAAAAAAATATTTACTCAAGAACTACATTAACATTTGAAGCCAGTGAGAAGTGGTTTAAGTATATGTTTTCAGGTTAAGAACATATTTGTTTTGTGGATCATGTACACAAACAAGGGTGTGCAAATTATATAAATATGCACAAATACACTGCTAATTTCACAGCCCCCTTAAATTAAGGCTGGAATACAACTTTTTAAAAAAAAATCTGCACATCAGTTTTTACTCACTCAAAGATGGTTTATTTTATCTTATTAAGTTTTTGGTTTGGTTTTATTGTGTAGCTGACATTTGAGAAGCACTGATTCAGATATTTGCAAGTTACTGGAGTGGGGAAAAATTAGTGAAGAAATCTATTATTGATTTATACAGAATTATTAAATCAAAAATAAATACAAAAGTTTGAAACAGTAGAGAACTAATTTGGGAGCAGAATTTACATAATAATTTTTTTAAATGGGCTTCATTATAATTCTTTCGTGAGGTGACAAGTATAACAAACACTTTAGTGCCCATCTCCCTATAAGACTAAATGTTTATTTAAATTATTCTGTACAGGAGGAGACTGTCTGATGTGTAGTGCAACTGAATTTGTGTATGGTGGGGCTTTTAACAATTTTTTTCCCTGATTTAAATGATAAAGTAATAAACTATCATTAAAAATAAGTTCTGTATGAATGTCATAAAAATGACTTCAAATCCTGGAGGCTTAATTTATCTGGAATGCTACACAATTTGACATTTCCACATCACACCAGATGCAAATTTTGTTCTCTTCAGTAGGTAGATGGCATGCTCCAAAATCTATTAATAAAAATACATAACACTGCTAGTCTGCACAGTCAGAGATTCAAAATATATCTGAAATTTAGACAATGAACTCTTCTTTCCCCCCACCCCAAATCCCTGTCTTAGATGACTGACATTCTACACAACCAGGTAGAATAGTCCAACCCATGTACACCCATGTAGTCCTTCTGTGATTCTCCCAACTGGATGCCATCTTTCAAACGATTTCTCCCAGCACCTGTGTAAGGCTAGTAGCGCAAGTAATATCGTCCCCATTGTATAGATGAGGAAACTGAGGCTCAGAGGGGGTGAAATGACTTTCACAGGGGCACACAGCTAGCAAGTAACAGAGCCAGAATTTGAACACAGGTGTCCTGATTATGCAGTTCATTGCTTTCTACTTCACTATACATCATTCCATTGCTAGAATATAATTTGCTTTCTTATTTTTAGGCAATTGGGGTTAAGTGACTTGCCCAGGGTCACACAGCTAGTAAGTGTCCATCGAGCTGCTATTTTAAAACTTTATAAGGACAGGAGCTACGTCTTATTTATATTTTCCTCAGCATCTGGCACATAGCTCTACATACAGTATACTCTTAGAAAATGTTCTTCCTTAAGGGGTAGCTAGGTGGCACAGTGTATAGAGTACTAGCACGAGAGTCAGGAGGATCAGAGTTCAAATATAGCCTCAGACACTTACTAGCTGAGTGACTCTGGGCAACTCACTTAACCCTAACTGCCTCCAAAGGTGAAAAAAAAATGTTCATCCTTTGAAAAGAATAATATTGTATATGTCTTGAAATAGTTTTTTTTTTCCATTTTGATTTTTGTGTGTCTGTACTCCCATAGCAAAAGAACAGCAACCTCTAAAGACCAGGTCTACCAAACATAAACTCTCCTCATCTGTTAAATTAAGGAGGATAGACTAGATAATCTCTAATTGTTACTTTTAGTTCTAAATCCACATATGATATTATGATCCTAAGAAATTGACATGGGCCATGGTGCAGTAGGAAGAGCAATGAACTTGCAGACCTCAAGTCAAGTCCTGATTCTGTCATTTGCCAACTGTGTGACTTTGGGCAAATTGCTGAACCTCTCTGTGCCTCAGTTTTCTCATCTGTACAATGGGGATAATATAACTTATGCTTCTGACCGTACAATGATGTCTTAAGGAAAGCTCTTTGTAAAGCAATAAGAGCTATATAAATAAAATAAATTATTAGATTAACAAGTTAATAAAATTTTAAAAAATTATTGTTGTTAACACATAGAAAAAATCATTCTCTTTAACTTATTTGACAGAGTTCATTCAGATAGAAAAGATACTGGACAAATCCTGCTCTTATTCTTTTCTATCTGATGTTCTGTGGACTATTGCCCAGATGAATAAAATAACTGCTTTTTGTAGCTGAATAAAAGAATTAGGATTATAAGCTCATCTCCTATCAATTCACTAAAAGCATTCCTGGTACAACTCTAGCACCAGACAGTATGATGGGGATGATACATACCTCATCTTATTACCAGATGATTTTGATTTCTTCTGCTTGGCCTCTGAATTTTAAGTTTTTCATTCCACCCAACTTGCAGATTGTGAGTATCTGATGTAGTAGCATCAATTAAAATCTATTACCATAGATACTAGGGCAGTGAGGTAGCACAATGGATAGAGTACTGAACCTGAAGTCAGGAAGACTCATCCTTGTGAGTTCAAATCTGGCCTCAGAGACTTACTAGCTCTGTGAACTGGGGGCGCAAGGTCACTTAATCTTGTTTGCCTCAGTTTCCTCATGTGCAATATGAGCTGGAGAGGAAATGGATAGGTTAATGTTCAAAGTGGGTAGCTAGGTGGCACAGTGGTTAGAGTGCCAGGCCTAGAGACAGGAAGACTCATCCTTGTGAGTTCAAATCTGGCCTCTGACACCATTAGCTGTGTGACCCTGGGCAAATCACTTAATCCCATTTACCTCAGTTTCCTCACCTTGTAAAATATGGTGGAGAAGGACATGGCCAAATCACTCCAGTATCTTTGCCAAGAAAACACCAAATGAGGTCACAAAGAGTGAAAATAACCGAACGACAAAACAAAGCTACTATGTTTAAAACGATAATTAATTATCACCACAATAATGACTATATAATCATCTTGCCTAGCTAAATATTTTCCACTTTGGGGGCTGAAATACACTTTTTGGCTATCTACATTAATCAAATTCGCTGGAAACCTGCAAGATCGGCAATTCACATTATGCTGAATACATACAACCAAAGTGAACTAAGGTAAAGAATTCACATGAGGTTGAAATAGCCCTATATTAGGACATATGACCTTGTGCGCAACACATATAACCTTTCATTCTAAAGATAATAAGCTCATGCACTGCAAACAAACAGAACATATTAGAGCTATGAATCATTATTTGCAGAAAAGGTCTTTGTATCCAAACTACTGGAAAACAGATTCCACTTTGGAAACTGCTGAATGATTAGTCAGCATATCTGTCTTATAAAGATAATACAGGTAAAAATCTCATTTTTTTTCCCAGAATTTCACCATAACAAGGGATTAAATGCATGGAGGGTAAATGTAAGGGAATGCACCTAGAGATCACCAAGGCTTAGATTAGGTTTCTATAGTGTGGTCAACCATACCTAAAACTGAGTCTGCGCACATGACAAGACAATCTACACAGGCAGATCATCTAGAGAGAGGCATCTCTCTCTCTCTCTCTCTCTCTTTCCCTCTTCTCTCTTTCTCTTTGTTTTCCTCTACTCTCTCTTCTCTCTGTCTCTCTCTTCTCTGTCTTTCTGTCTCTCTCTCTCTCTCTCTCTCCTCTCTCTTTCTCTCCCTCTGTCTCTCTCTCTTCTCTCTCTCTCTCTCTCTCTCTCTCCTCTGTCTGTCTGTCTGTCTGTCTATATAGGAGAGACATTCTCTCCTATACCACCTCCTCAGCCCCTCGCTCTCCACAAGCTCTTTCGTTTTGACAAGGTCACCCCAGAAGCTCCCAAGTACCGGCTCAAGCTCTAACCTGGAGTCAGCCCGGATGCACTGGTAAAAAGTGGCCATCTTCCTGCCCAAGCCTTCAACTCTTTCATCCTTCTAGAGACCAGCCGCAGTGAGAAGAGGGTACCTCTCTATGTCTTTCCCCAGAGCAGTCAAGGAAGGCTTCTGGTATACTGTAGGCCATGCTTACTGACAGCCCTCCTTCCGTGTTGCTCCTCCAGAAAGCTCAGCAGCCAGGCCGGGCATCGCCCACAGGGTGCAAGCACTCTCGAGGAAGTATGGACGCTGCGAAACCCAGCCAAGCCCAGCCCATGGGGCTTTTGACCGGCCCAGTGAGATCTCCTGGGCAAAGAGTGTTGGCAACAGTATCTACCTGGTAAACACACTCCGCACTTCCTGATTTCACTCAGAGCCCCAAAGAGAGGCCAGAGCTGATTCCTGGCTTTAAGCATCAGGCTCCTCTGATTGGCATAGTTACCATTCATGAAATATAACAAACATAGGCTTTGTTTTATTGTACTCGCTTCAGGTGAGGGTGAAAGGCAGTGATGGGTGAGGTCACATTCCAGGTCTGATGTAGGGCTAATCCCAGTAAGAAATAAGATCTACTGTCTGTGGAGATCCAAAAGGGATAAGGGGCACCCCGCCCCAAGCCTGTTCTACCCACTCCTTCTGCCTTTTCATTCATATTTACCAGAAAGAACACATATTCCCACCTCTCTTCACTATAAACTTCAATTTTGTTAGGTTATTAGGTTGGCAAAAATACAGAATAAATTTTTTTCCCCAATTCTATTACTTGGTAAATTTGGTCAGTAAAAAAACAGAATAAATTTTTTTCCCAATTCTGTTACTGCAATTTCCCTCTCTAGCTTTGGTTTGTTATTAGTCACTGTAATTGTATCCAACTCTTCATAACCCCATTTGGGGTTTTCTTGGCAAAGATACTGGAGTGGTTTGCTATTTCCTTCTCCAGCTCATTTTCAAGATGAGGATACTGAGGCAAACAAGGTTAAGTGACTTGCCCAGGGTCACACAGCTAATAAGTGTTTGAGGACAGATTTGAACTCAGGAAATGACTTGACTCGAGGCCCAAAACTTAACCACTGCACCACCTCGCTACCCCCATATCCTATCCCTAGCCTTCTATAATAATCCTACAAACATTATCAGGCTTTCTGTTAATGATTCTTGAAACCTTCCCATTACTCCTATTATTCAGACACCTGTTTACTCCAGCCATTAGAGCAGTACTTTCATCTCCCACTCTCACTCCTAGAGACAGGGCTTTCCTCCAGCAAGCTAATTACTCCCATCTTTGCCAGACTTTTTATGTAGTACATAGAGAATCCCAGCTCTCAACAGAGATAACCATTTCTAGTCTGATTCACTTATGTATCCCACATCCTCCATACCAGCAGGATTAGTTCAAATTTAAGAGGCCTCTATGGTGAGCAGGGCCTCTATGTGTTAACTGCACCTGTCACTTCAAAAGAATAAAACTTCTATGGCCCAGCAGCCTGAATGCTACGTCACTCCAGTCCTGTCCAAAGTCTAATGTCTGTCAGTAGGGTACAGTCATGGAGTTTCTAGGGAACATGTGTAGTATTAAATGGAAGCTTCAGACCATCAGTTTTTTATCAATTATTACAATCAAGGAGTAAAGCAGTGAGAATTATTTTTTAAAATTTGGGGTTACAAAACAAGTTGCAATTTTCTATCTCCATGCCAAATGTTTTCATTTTTATGGATAAATGCAGGGTCCTAAATTAAATAGTAGCAGCTCACTCCTCTATTGGACTTTTCAGCTACAGGGTGCTTCAGGGACATCTTATCTCATCTATTCCTTTGCAATGTTTCCATTTCAATTTTATAGCTGAGAAAACTGAGGAAAAAGGCAATCATGATTAGAACTTGGGTCTTTTTAACTTAAGGGTAATAGTTTTCTTTTTTGTTTCTGACTATCCTGGGAAAAGATGGGAAAACAAAAATAGGATGAAAAGTTGAACCAGACCAAGTATTCACAAAGGAGATAGATCTATGCTAGCGGTAACACAAATATGACACAGATGAATTAATTCTCATGGCATCTGAAACAGGGAAGAATACTAAAGATTGGGGAGAGAGGCAGGTGCAGACTAGGGAAATCTTTAAACTTATTAGTGTCAAAAACAAAAAAAAAAGAGATGACCAATTAAATATTAATAACTACTGGCCTCAAGATATTTTAATATGAAAGGGAGAAAGGTCAGATGTGTACATTAGGAAGGTTATTTGGGCAATTATTTGAAGGAGAAGCAAGAGAGAGGAAGCAGTGAGATCAGCTACGATGCTGACAGTAGGCTACAATAGTCCAAGAATAAGTCAGGAAAGGCTTGAACCAGAGTAGCAGCAGTGAGTGGATAAAAGCAGGGACACATAACAAATATTGTATGGGTAGAATTGAAAGGAATTGACAAGTGATAGGATATAGGGCTGTTGGAGTCAATTAATATTTTAAACCTGTTGCTGTTCACTCATTTCAGTCGTGTCTGACTCTTCATGACCCCATTTGGAGTTTTCTTGGCCAAGACACTGGAGTGGTTTGCCATTTCCATCTCCAAGTTATCTTAAAGAAGAAGAACTGAGACAAACAGGGTTAAGTGATTTGCCAAGGTCACAGAGCTAGTAAGTATCTGAGGCCGGATTTGAACTCAGAAAGATGAGTCTTCTTGACTCCAGGTCCAGGGCTCTATCCACTGTGTCACCTAGCTACCCCACTATGATTAGTTATCTTTTAATGGGAGTAATTTCATGGGGGAAGAAGTAGCAGATTGTTGTTGTTCGGTTATTTTTAGTCCTGTCCAACTCTTTGTGATCCTATTTCAGATTTTCTTGGCAGAGATACTGCAGTGGTTTGCCATTATCTTCTTCAGCTCATTTTACAGATGAGGAACTGAAGCAAACATGGTTAAATGACTTGCCCACAGTCACACAGCTAGTAAGTGTATGAGGCTGGATTTGAACTCATTAAGATGAAATCTTCCTAGTTCCAAGCCCAGTGCTCTATCTATTGCGCCATCTAGCTGAGGTTCAAAATAAAGTTGGAAGGATGGTAGTAAAACCAATAGAAATAGGGAATTTGTGAGAAGAGGTAAGTTTAGAGTAGGAACATGCTAAATTGCATTTGAGGCATACTGAGTTAAGCAGGACATTCCCAGTGGAGATGTTGAGCACAAAGTTTGTGATATAGAGGAATTTAGAGGAGAGATTATGGATGGATATAGAGATCAGAAGTCATTACCAGCAATAGATGAGATCACCAAGAGAAAATATACAGAGAGAAGAAAGTGAAGGCCATGGACAGTCTTAGGCAAATCTAACCTGTCTGTGCCTCAAGGGTCTCATCTGTAAATTAAAGATAGTAATCATTGGTTCTACCTCACAAGGACAAGATATTTTAAGGATAAAGGATGAGTCATTTGCCCTGGAGCTTATAGGGTAGCTTACATTTTTTTTTTACACTTGTTTCAACATGACCTTAGAAGTTTTATTTTATTTTTTTTCTTTTCAACATGTGTTTTTAAACTTTGGGTTACAAAGATAGCTCACATTTTTTAAGAGGCCAGGAAGGAAGAGAGCAATGTTTAGATGAGCTGTCACCCTGTTTATAATTATATACCTTTAGTGACTCCATGTCAGGCAGCTAGATGATATAATGGATAGAGTATTGAACTAGGGCAGCTAGGTGGTGCAGTCAATAGAGCACCAGGCCTGGAGTCAGGAAGACCTGAGTTCAAATTTGGCCTCAGACACTTACTAGCTGTGTGACCCTGGACTGCTCACTCAACCCTGTTTGCCTCAGTTTCCTCATCTGTCAAATGAACTGGAAAAGGAAATGGCAAACCACTCCAGTATCTCTGCGAAAAAAACACCAAAAGGGGTCATGAAGAGTAACCCAAAACACCAAAAACTGAACTTAAGAGTCAGGAAGACAATTCAAATTCTACCTCAGTCACACACCAGCTGCATGACCTTAGGGAAATTATTTAATTTCTCTGTGTTCTAGTTTCCTTATCTGTGAAATGGGGAAAATACTAGCACCTACCTCATGGAGTTGTTGTGAAGATCAAATGAAATAACATATAAGAAGCACTTTGCAACACCTAAAGTGCTACATAAATTCTAGCTATTATTATGATTATTATTGTAAGCTATTACATATTTCCTAGCAGCTTGAGAATTTACCCCTGCTGGAGAGAAGCAGTCCAACGTCAATGCCCTTCTTAAATTGAAATGGATTCAGGTCAAACGTACAGTTCTACCATTTCCCAGAATCACTTTTTGAAAAGAAGAGGACAACAATTTGTCTTTAGCCCTTTAGCCTCAGTTTAAGTACTTAGATGTTTACATGCGGTATCTCCTCAATAGAATGTAAGCTCCTTGAAGGCAGGCACCATTTTTCATTTTGTCTTTGTTTCTACAGTGTCTTATATGTAATACTTACTGTAACAACACCTGGAATACCTACTTCACAGTCTAGTTGGAGGCGGCTAGGTAGCAAACTGGACTTGAAGTCAAGAAGACCTGAGTTCCAGTTCTGCCCCAGCACTTACAAGTTGTGTGACCAGGACAAGTCACTTAACTTTTATCTCACTTGGTTGGTAAAATGGGCACAACAATAGCACCTACCTCACAGGGTTACTGCAAAGATTAAATGAGATTTTATACACACACACACACACATATACATATATACATATATATACATACACATATATAGCATTTTGAAAATCTTAAAGTGCCATTTAAATGTGACTTACTGCTTAATAGATCTGTGATCCTGTTGATGTAGGTACTCTATTCAATGGTGCAAATTATACCTTTACATCTTGTGTGTGTGTGTTTTTAAGGCAATTGGGGTTAATTGAATTACCCAGGGTCACACAGCTAGTGTCCGAGGCCAGATTTGAACTCACAAAGATGAGTCTTCCTGATTCCAGGCCTGCTGGTCTATCCATTATGCCACCTTGCTACCCACTTGGAATATAAATCTATCTCAAATGCCTTTTTGTCCTTTTTTCTTGCTTCTGGCTAAAAAGCCCTGGGTTTATCATTATTATTATTGTCGTTGTTGTTGTTCTTGGATCTTTGCACAAGCCTCAGCTCACACTAGATAATGGAACTGTTCTTTTTTGGGGTGTGTGCTGAACTCCTTGGGTAGGCTGGTAAAGCCTGTGGATACCTCCTCAGAAAATTCATTTATTTTATTTTATTTTGTAGGCAATCAGGGTTAAGTGACT